AAAAGAACGAACCACTCATAATTATTTGACCTTTTTTTGACATCCTGTATTTTCTGAAGGAATCGAACCATTCACTTGCGATTTTTGGCATCGAATGTTGTGTTCTATCATTTTCAAACATGGCTACCATACAATGAGATAGTCAGCTCGTCAAAACATACATACATAGGAAGTGAAATAGAACCAATTCACTATGATCAATTTTTGTGTTGCTGTGTTGGGATAGGAAACACTCTTGTTCTCGACAACCAATCAGAATCGACCATTTCCACGGTTTCTTTCCATGGTTTCTTTTGTATTACAGCGATATTTTGTTTGTTTAGGTACTAAATGTAAAAACTTCAGAAACGATAAGATTTCCACAAAATTCTCAAACACACGACATGTTTCGCTAATACAGTAGTTTCGTCAGTTGATATACTGGTACAATGAACTAAACTAACGTTGGCTTGCTTGATTTTTATATATCCCAACCTGAAAGATCAGTTACCTGTGGACAGGTACGATAAACCTCCGTTTTCGGAAATTAGGCACAATATAGGCATATCTACAATAGGATATCACTATTCATAATAATTCAACACATCCTTATCAACATAAAATTGCAGCATAAGATACACAGGCTAGTCAATGTCTCTCTTCCGGAAGTCCCCGAGGCATATAATCTTCAGAAATTTAAGAAGAATACAAATTCCTACCTCATTTCCCTTGGTTCTCACGATGTTTTCTGAACATTACAGGATATCCCTTTTCGTGGGAACCAGAACATAAAAAAAATCTTTGTAAAATTTGTATTCAACACCAATTTTGTACTGGGAAGTGAATAAAATCAATCGATATTGTTATATATAAGAAATAAACAAAGTTTTCATTTCCTATTATCACTTTTTGAGTCATAATCGAATACTCTTACCACTCATGAAACAATTGGGAAAATGTCATTGCCACCAAATTGTATTGAAACATTTTCACTTGTTCTCGCGACAGTTAGTAATCAAATGTAGTATATATCAAAAGTTGAAAAACCAACATTTCTCTATAAATATCCACCCTGTGACTTGGATTTTTTTTCGCTCGAATATTTCTGGTCAATAATATCTAGTTTTTTGACAGTTGAGGAGAAACGTATTCAATATTCTGAACATTCTTGGTTTTAAAGGGATGGTCTGAGGATATCCAATTGTTTGGCATGAAACCACGACAGGTACCCTTTCGAGGGGAGTGTACCAACTCTTGGCGTCTGTAAAGCCTCCCTACAAAAGAGGTTGTCGCCTTCTTATGCGTTAGGTATATCCAGTGCTCTTCATATATGTCATTGTTGCCTGATCTTTAGGCCTATCAACCCTTTTCTTGAAAATCTCGGAATTTCTGGAAGTAGTTTTCTCAATGAAATTTCTTAAGGACATTGGCGCTATTTTTGAGTGCTTCTTTCCATATACATTTCTCTTTTCCAAATTTTTTTCTGCAGCTGTCAAGAAATTATGTCATTCATTTTTCAAACTTAGTAGGTATACGCGTGATCAGACATTTGGTGGTTGTCAAATTTTCCACAATTAAATCCTTGAAGTGCACGCTTGGTTGTACGTGGACATGTGCATCCATACAATACAATAAAATGAATAGTCAACAAAGATCAATTAATTTGACATTAGTATTCCCGTGTCATCCAAAGCGTCGTTTTGTCTTTCTTTATTCGAAAATTCTTATAATTCATCATGTTCTGATTCCTGAAGGGTTTTTGATCTATGGAAAGAAGCAATTCTTTCAACCCCTGTTTCAAAATCGAGATAATTCAATTTCTGATCTGGTTTTGAATTGAGCCAATTATTCCTTATGCATTTCAACAAATGTACAAAATCGAAGAGATAAAAAAGAGGGCGTGATGTATCTGCAGGATGAGGATAAACAATACTGAGTTTTGGATTTTCTGCAAAATTACTCATAGCTCAACTATTGGCAGCATTTTGTCACTGATATTACAAAATACTCTGTAACCAAATTCCTCTAATTTATTAATAACTCTCTTTATTAAAGAAAAAATCATGAGGTGATCTATTTTTGGTGTTGGACTCATATGAACAACTTCTTTCACATTTGACATAACGCTTGCTATAATGGAGACAAACGTGGAATTTGCTAAACATGCATTATTAAATGCCGTTCATACAATATTGCCTGCCTTGTGATCTAAATATGGCTTTATATAAACTTCATCCATCATTAGAATGACATATTGTTCACGTTCATCTTTCTTCGAATGTAGGATCTGTTAACAACAAACTACATATCGATTTGACTGTACCTGAATGAGGTAAATATGAATACTCCAAAATGTCTTAAAAATTTATGAGCATCTGGACTTATTGTATAAATTATGGAGGCTGAAATTATGGTATTATTCGAATAACGAATATCTTTCCTTGCAGGATGTATGTAATTCAATTTGCTCAGAGAGAAACAATAAAGCTGTGTTTTCGGAATCTTCATCAAGATCTGAAACAGAGTCAGAAACCAAAGAATTCAATACATTCGAAATATGTTTCAAAACATATTCTATTTATTTCTAAATTAGTAATTCTTTGATTTGATTGATATTATTAGAGATAGAAGGTGTTTTCAGATTGTCTGTTAGAAATTTTTGAATTTCTAGGTCATACGAAAATGAGTCCACATTCAAAACAGAATCAATAACATCCGAATGTGTAATTACTGGCCCTCGAGAATAATGAATGAATAATGTGACTTTTTGCAAATCTATAATTTTGAACCACTTTTCGGGCAACTGAAAAGACTCTAATACAACTACAAATGCTTGAAATTCTGTGTAGCAAAATGATTTTTGGTGATTTTCGAATTCAGAGTACTATTGCCACATTTTAAGTCTCTAGTATCTCAAGTTTTTCATCACGACTTGTGCGTAATTTTACATCTTTCGATAAATAAGATGGACAGTAAAGATATCGAGTAGGAATAACATCTCGTTTGAGCCTACGAATTTTCAAATCTATATTGTTACAGTTTTGCCAGTTTTCGAACCGCGGTAAATTGCATATACCTTCTTTTTCGATAGTTCCTTGTTCAACGGGAAACTAAAAGCATGAAATTTTGGACCACCCACATAATTCCCCCGACAAAAGGGAACACAACACTTGAATTAACAACAAAAGAATTCGGGACGCTTCTCACACATATCTAAACAAACTGACGACGACGAAAGGCGACTCGCGAAGGATGGATGGCCTCTGTTAGCTGACGTCACGAGGTGTTCACTACGAGCCTTCAGGCCTTGTCGGTTGATACACTCATTTAGCTATCCTGAAGTAGCAGAAAACTTTTTTTTCTGCGATAACTGGCTATGATACAACAAGTTTTAACGAGGAAAAAGCTAAATATTTCAATATCTTTCAGAAACACCCGCAAATAATGATCTTCTGAAGTTGCTTTGTATTGGAGACGCTGCCTGGTATATTTCCATAACATTTTGCCAAGTTCATTCATGATATGAAAATGTAAAAACCCACACATATATATCAAAGTGAGAATGTTCAGAAACCATAGAATGAATTTCTCCTTCTCGATATAATCTTTGTACAAATAATTCGTATAGTGAGAGAGGTGCCGAGAGGTCTTCTCATTACAAATGTAAGCTTTCTATACTAATATGAAAATAATCCATGTTTAGATTTCGATGAGGAAGATATTGCATGACAATGAGAGATCAACACGGTTGTCGTACTTGAATTTTGCGGGTAACTGGAACTCATAACAGCGCGTTTTCGTATTTTATAGCTAATTGCACCATTTCAAAGCTACAGCTCCCTTACTATGAGTCGTACGAAAAAATGTTTCAGCTAAATTTTGTAAGAAATTCAGTCTTCTATAAGATTGATAATAGGTAATTTTGTGCTTGTACCCATCAGTGAGGAGATAATGCAAAAAATAACAATTCTAGTCGCCATTTTCCAAGATGGTGATTTTTGCTGGCGGCCACTGGGGTCGCAAACTTGGGGTTTCCATAAGAACCCCGAATTCTAATACATATTCAAAAATCAAAACTACTGGAGCTTTTGCATGGCAAAATCCTCTGGCTACTGGACTATTGTCCGATTTGGACGTTCTTTGTTTTGAATGACATGTTCTGAACATTGGTGTGTAAACTGTATTCGCATGAGAACCTCTTCTTTATGAATACCGGGTGTAGCTGTTGTAGCGTGTTTTTTTCATGAAATTTTCAATACCCTGTGAAGTGTAACAGTTTTACGTTATGAACATTCCTCTTCTAGATTCACTCCATTATTTTTCCTATTTCTCCAGAAATACAATTTTGTAGCATAACATGATTTTATTGAATTCAATTGGCATTATGAGCACGAAAGTAGCAGGCAATGGTCTGGGAAGGTATTTCTTTGACTGGTCGCATGGAACCTGTGATACTAAATGGAAGCCTTATACCGCTGAAAGAAACTATGTCTGTGATTTTATAACCATTAAGTGTATGGATTTTTGTTGATGCAAGATAATGGTCGAGTGGACTATTTTTCTTTATTTCTCAAATGCTTTTCAATTTTTTTTTGATTCCTTGGTCGATTTTTAGGTGCTAAAACCATCAATAATGCCACGGTAATTTTCAAACAGATAGAAAGTCAAGTAGGGGCAGACCATAGCACAGTTGCCATGTGTTGAAATACGATTGGGAAATATTAGTTTTTCGAACATTCATAAATTCTCAATTATGAAGTGATGATATTCCTATATACCAATACAAAATCAATTGTCTCAAAATGTTCCCTCATGATTTGTGGCTTATTGCTTATAATTAATACATTTGTGTAAATAGTGATTATATTAATTCACACTAGAGGACATTTGAAGCGGTGAACGTAAAGCTATGGTTTCCTAGAAAAGCGGTGCCGTGATCTAGCGGCCGTCATTTTACGGTTGTTATCTCCGAACAACAAACCCACGTTGTTATAATGACGGCCGTCTTTACGGTGACCATTCTGTGGTTTCCTAGGAAGTAGTGCGACCGTATTCAATCGTAGTCACTCAGTAGTCAGTACTCACTCGAGAGTAGTAGATCGTGCACTGGTGAAAAATGGACGATTTGGACATAGCATTATCAGTATGTTTGGATGATGAAAAGTCATCAGAAGACGTCAACAATCGTTTGGAGGAGAGTATCATGTTCAAAAATCGTGAAACTGAGGGTGCATTTCAAATTTTAGTGCGTCGCCATCTGCAGTGTAATGACGAAAAATTTAGGCAATACTTTTTGACAAAATCAATTAATTGTTCGTCATTTTCGCCCGCCCACATCACGTTTCCACTCATTGTTTTAATTATACACTGTGTCTTCAAAATGGCTTCCTATTGATATCTTCATGGATAGAGAACTCTTCTTTACGCCAATAGAGATTTGTAGATCACATGCGAGCACTTCAATAGCCATCTAGTCGAAAGAATTCTGGTGTGAGATTTTAAACGTTATCATCCGCAATTTTGTTTTGGATGAATATTTTCGTCTGAGATTCTGAGGTTGTATAGAGAATCGAAAGACCTTTCAATCGAGGTATCTTTCGACCCCCCACTCCATTTAAAAAAATCTTCCAAAATGGCGCCCAGGCGCCATTTTGGAGGATACATTTTTTTTCTGGAACAATATATAGCACTGAAACTACCATTGAAGCAAAAAAAACTTGAAAAAAAATCCCATCCGTTCAATTAACCAGGAGGGGGGGGTGACTTTATGGACACAGTGTATATGCACACCGCTACACGCGAAAACGTAGAACAACTGTTTATCACCGCTATGACGGCCGTCATGCAACTGACAGCACCGCTATTTGACGTTACGGTGACACTCAACGTACTCTAGGAAACCTACTCCGATGTTATTTATAGAAAACGTATGGTAGACGTCACCCAACGCTATATTACGGCCGCTAGATGACGGCACCGCTTTTCTAGGAAACCTTAGCTTAACAACACGGCGCGCACGACTTGTGGGCGTGGTCTTGTTCCTTCTTAGCACAATGTGGCCAAGGAAAGGCAATGAAGTGAATCTAAGAAAAGAATGTTGGAAATAAATGAGGATATAGTGCGATCCTAATTCTAACTGGATAGTGAAACTATTACACTCTACAGGGTATTACAAATTCCATGAAAAAAACACGCTGTGATTGCTACATCCAGTATGTATAAAAAAGAGGTAATGACCTGTCATTCACAACAAAAAAGTCCGAATCGGACATGTACTTTTGTCGAAAATGTTTACTAAACTTTTGGCTCCTTTTTGGTGGTGCCCTTTAATTTCTTGGAGAAGTGTGTATTGTGTTTCATTTGTAACGGGTTGCCTCACTGATGTGGTGCTGAAATAGTCGACATCATAATTCACATTGATTGTTTATGATTCCAACCAAGAACTTTTGGAATTCGGAACAATCTTTCGTTCTTCTTCAAAATGCGAAGAATAGACTTCTAAGTCGCTGCACTTCCTTGAGACACTCTGTATGATTTAAACTTCAATCATTGAATAGATTGAATAAAACCATCCAACTCATGCATTCAATATTTTTTGGATTACGTAAAAAAAGTTAAGAGGGGGGCGCCGGACTTTTGGTCCTCACTGTATATTTCAAAAAGAGATCTGCATATAAAAAAGATTTTATTTACAATTTGGAAATAATCATCAACAAATAAATAATTGTCGGTATCGATACTTAGATCAATATTCTTAAATTCGTGTGACTATAGGGTGTTTCAGTTTTTTGTTGCAGGACTTCAACAGCTTGAAGAAGACATTTTTTTGAGATGAAAATCTCATGCAAACATATGTATATGCGTGGGAGCTTTATTTCCGATTTACAGGGTGTCAAAGTTTCAGATTTTTTTTATGTTTTGTTTTTTCTAGTTTTAATTATAATGGTGTTCAAAAAAATCAATTCAATTTTGCAACTGAATTTCATTTGGTATGGAAGCTTCCGGTCATTCTATTTTTCAACAAAATGTTTAAGAAATGTCAAATAAGTGTGTTCGAGAAATAACGGTTTTATTACAAGTAATTCATTTTTGGCATTTATCTCGAGATCTATACAGTTTTCGAGAAATTTACATGGGGGCAGAAAGTTTCCAAATTGAAAGGACAATATGAATCTATGTACTATTGAAAGAAGAGACGGCACGCAAAAAAGTTCTACAGGGTTAAATTGGGTACGACCCCTGAAAGTCTAACATCATGTAGGTATTCAAAAATGCTCAATATCCTGAAATATTGAATTTTTGAAGTGTATCGGAAACGAATCTCCCACGCATTTAATTATGTTTGTATGAGATTTCATCTCGAAAAAATTTCTCCTTCGAGCTGTTGAAGTCCTGCTACAAAAAACTGAACAACCCTGTATATTTGATAGAATAAAAAGGCGATGTTGATGAAATATTACACACAATTCAAAAATCTATATTTGCGGACATCTTTTTTCATTCAAATGCCGAAAGTTGTAGACATTATTCAATAGTTGCTTCTCAGCAAGTCATTATAGTCTCATCAATACTCACATTTTATGAGCAGTAGAATAGAATATAAACAATTTTGGAGCCATTAAGTGATTTTATCTCTTTCAATAACGGTATCATTTTTGTTACTTTCACTAACGAAATGTTTTTGTTGTAAAAATATATAAATGTTCATATTATACATATACATGGTATATAAACAATTTGATCTGATTTTCCTATCGAATTCCCCCAGCGAACTCATAAAATCCATTAGGTTTATTGTTTTCATATAGTATATCCACAAAAAATATAGATAGGTACTTCACCTAAGTATAACAGTTTTGTAAAGTGGAGAAAGTGTATAAAATATGAGTTACTCCACTATCATCAATTACCTGTTAGCATTATACATAAAAAACTCTGGCAATGAAACTTCGCTTCATCTTCAGGTGAAATAAATGAATAATCCTGAGAACTAAAAGTTTTTTTGCTTGCTGCCAATATGTCACGGAATATCACTACAAACAATGTCTGACATGTAAACGTTTTCCTTCACAATATGAATATTAGGAGACGTTTCATGTTCAAAGTTTCAGCATAGTTATCTATGCGATCACAATTTTTCAGGTTTCACTTCATCTAAACCGATTGTTTCATCTATTGAGTCCTCATCCTCATCTTCCGGAATGGAGAATAGATACTTGTAAATGCCATATCCTATGATGGCACCTAAGTTGGGACCCACCCAGTAGATCTGCAAAAAAAAATCAGTTGAAATCATGAAGATGATGGAAAAAAATTTAAGATTCATCGAAATCAACCTGAGGTTGAATTCTTATATGGCTGATTCACGGTGGATGGCACATTATAGACGTATCTGGAGAACGCAACGTAGGACTATGCTGAATATTTGGTTTCTCGGATAATTACTTGTGTTCTATCTACCTTAAATATTCTCAACACTGCGACGTTGCCGCTTATATTGAAAAGGAACAACATCTTTGATTTTTTCAATGAGACACCATATTATTCCATTCTCAGATTCTTCCTGAAAGGATATTTCATATCATGGAAACCACGGGAAAACGCAAACTTGAGCGTGACGACATTCACCGTACCGTGTCCAATCATATGCAATGGTATTGCTACAATACGAATCACATATCTATTCTCTATAGCTGTCACACTAAGCAAGAATACTTATCCCTGATTGTTTCTCTGGTTAATTTTCTATCAACAACTTCGAAAAAAATTATCGGCAATAATTCTGCTGCTAAGGAAATAAAACACATGACTTTCAGATTAAATTCGGTTCAGATATTCCAGCGGACACTAACGACGACGTTAGATACTATGAGCATCACGAACAGTAAGGTTTGTTTTTATTATTCTTATCTCTTGGAATGCACGAAAGGACATTCCTATGATATTATCCCCAACCAGTAACAGACCTTAGAGGTCTCGATATTCAACTATTTCATTGGAATTATAATGGATTCCTCATAAACTCACCCAATGGTCTTTAAAATTTCCGAGTAATACAGCAGGAGCAAATGACCTAACTGTGTTCATGCTAGCTCCAGTCAGTGGACCCTGAAAATAAATGGAAAATTCAGGTTATGTTGGGGCATTACATGGACAAATGATATTTTAAAGTGACCAAAAAGCGTTGGAAAGAATTGGCATAGTGACCAGAGAATAAATTTGAAAAGAAATGATCCTTATTCCAGGCCAAATAGTCGAAAGATAGTGAAGGTAATAACGTACACATAGTTGAATGCCCCCTGAGAATCAAACACACTAGAAAAAACATTTCTCGACTCAGAGCGAAGACCGAACTCAAGTTCTAAATGTAAGCCGGATCCCAGATTTAAATCAATTTACGATCCAAAAGTGAGGTTTGTGGAATGAGATTGAAAGAGTAAGTCTTCCAATTCGGACTAGGGAGTGCTAGTGTTCAAGTCAAAAGTTGACGGATGAACAGCCCAAATCCTAAAGAGACTAGCAAGCAACCCCAGCTATGTCCCGACCTCATGCAAAAGCCGAAATAAAGTACGAAGAAATAACCACATTTTGACTTGTTGAAGCCAAGATCTGAAACAGTACCTCTATTATGAATTGTAATGGTTTCAATCTTGGAGAATTACTTGTGTTTTTTTTTAAATTTATACTTAAAGTAAGTAAGTAAGTATTTATTCATATCTTCATCATACAGGAGTTTCTGAACTTATTTCATATTGTTTGGTACAATCAAAATAACAATGAAAATGAAAGACCAGGACCAGGATCAAAATAACAATGAAAATAAAAGACCAGGACTTATCATCATCACCTAAGCCCCAATGGGCTTGTATTGTGAGTATCTGATATTTCCTGACTTTAAACAATGTTCTTCTCGGTTTGTATGTCATTCTGTGCTGATTGATTTTCTTCTGATTGAACTTTGGGAAGGTGAGTGAGAAAGAAACATACTGAAACTGGAGGTAGAAAAACTTTTAACATAACTATAGATTGTTAATTATTAATTGAAGACTGAGTCATACATACTTTTATCTTGACATATCATATTTTTGACTGCTCTTTTGTAGGAATTAAAGGTATTCATAGTTTTCAGCTGAATCGGAATTAAATTATACAGTTTGGGTCCATAGAAGTAAATATTTTTTTGAGAATGACTTCTCCTCATGAAAGGTACTTTAACTGATGAGTTTTCGGTGAATCTGGTGAAACGTTCATAATTAATAGGGAAGTATTTTTTTCCTTTGAACATCCAGATTAAACATTGGTAGGCATAGATATTCCTAATCTTGAAGAGATTAAGTTCTTGAAGAAATAGAGCTTGAGTAGAGTAGCGTCTCTTTTTATTGAACATAATTTTCAAAATTGAGTTCTGAGCAAATTGGACATTTTTCAATTGGTTATTGTAAAGCCCACCCCAGACAATAATGCAATATCTTACTACAGATTCAACTAGTGAGTTATACAATAAGAGTAGATTTGTCTTATTGAGAATATCTCTTAAGCTATAGAATTTGTGATAAAGACTTCTGATCCGCTTTGTGACGTATTTAGCTTGATCATCCCATCTCATATGCTGATCTAGAAAGATACCCAGCAAGTTTTCTCAATTTCAGGACAAATACAATTATTATCATATTGTGTTTTATTACAAGAGAATTTATGTATTTTTAAATGTCTATCTTGCGGTTGGTCTCTGGATTGAAGACAAAGTGATGTATTTCGTCTTTTTTATATTTAGGCTCAACAGATTATGATTCAGCCACATTTTGATTTGATTAAGGAATGTGACATCTTCCTAATTGTACTTGTGGATTCATACCAAGCCACGAAGGTCATTGTTTGATAGTTTATTTTGATTGATTGTCTGTATTAGCCCAAGAAACATAACTATTCATGATAGAGATACATGATACACAAGATGTAAAAAAGTAATAATAATGAATAATAAAATAGGTTTAACTAATCAATTCCACTCAGCTAGCTTTGAGAGAGAAAATATGTCTGCCCTAGAGTGACTTGATAAAACCGAGTGACGACAATAGTGATGCACGTTTTCATCTGTCTGATCTGTATTATGGAGGTACATTTGCCTGTATTGTTTTCTCCATCAACGCTATGTCGTTGTTCCTCGCTCTTTGGACACAAAACATCCAACGATGTTCTTTTGGGACTCCTAAGTCTCAGATTATTCAGATGATGAAATTATAATATCAAATATCTACACCTAACATCAGGTAAGCACTTCGAAGGCACAAATTCATTGCTGCATGTGAGATATCCTTAACATTTAACTATTCAGTGGTTCCACCATGAATGACATTCCGGAAACGGCAGCCATCTTGAGGTCTAGTCGCTACTCCATTCAATCTACTCACTCTATAGTCTTCCGCATATCTGTCCTTGTCTTCAGTGTTCCAATTTTGAATAATGGAAATTTTATGTTGGCAATATTGGAAATGATGAAACATGGAAAAAAAGACCATATTAACCTCAATATTAAGAAGGAGAATGGTATTTCTTCAGTTTCTTCTCACCTCCAATGTTGCCAACATAAAATAAGACAAGGACACGACGAGAGTCAAAGTCAACATTCAAACCATACGAGGCGTTCAACGCCCGACTGGCGTATTTTCAAATAGGAAAAAGCCAAATACTCAAAGAGGGATGCAATGGTCACAAAGAGAGAGAAATTGATTCGTATAGATGAATAATATCGCATAAGTGTTTCCTTCCTAAACGCCGAGCTGCGCCTAAGTGGTTCAGGAACGGGTGACTACCTGCAGATCACCAGATAGTGGTCAAGAATGCTATCTGGGACAACCGTGCATTGATGAAAGTCATTAGCTCAAAACCGGTCTGCAGGTAGTAACGTGTTCCTGAACCACTTAGGCGCAGCTTGGCATTCAGAAAGTAAAAACTTGCGATTATATTCGTCTGTACAATTATTGCATAGATTTCAGGAGAATGTTATACAATGTTCTGTTTGGCATTATGTAGCCAGGAATTTATTTTTTTTCCATCATCTACCATATTCGTTCATTTTATGAACTATTGTGGTGATGACTCTGAGTTTCTCTCTCTTTATTGTGGCCATTGCATTCCACTTCCTAGTTGAAGAGAAGGACATATGGGGATGACTTTTTTTACTCTATCATCGCTAGCTGAACTTTTCATTCAATATTTCGATGTTTCATCTCATTTGAACAGCAGTTTCCCTTAGATTTTACTTACCGCAACCATGGAAATGGCAGCAATCACGAAACCGAATCTGATAGCCACCGAGTCAGGCTTGTCAGCATTCCTTTTATCCCAAACAGCCAGTATCACTATGATAAGTACTGCCGTGATGATGATCTCGATGGCCAGGGCTTGCATGGTGGTGATGAGTTTGTGAGGACTGGTCATACATAAACCGTCGTTGATGTAGTCTTCCGGGATCAAAATCTGGGAATAATATTGTGAAACTTCACTTAGCTACGATCAAAGCTCCACAAGATTCTCAAAAATATGACTTGTCTAGCTAGTACAGTAGCTTCTTCAAGTGATCGCAGAATAAAATAACCTAGCATTGATTTGCCTGGCAAAATATAACTAGAATCTAACTTGCTAACGGAGGAGCCGCCGAAATTACCCGAACAGTGATGCCAAATGAGTCTATAATTTTTTTCTCAGTAATCACTTTACTCACATTACCATGACTTCCGGTATGAATGCATTTTCACATCAATCAGAACTATACGCGCTATGGCGGTGCAATCGAATTGAATCGTGATTGAATCCGATAATAATTAGCATTCAACAAAATCAAATGGAATGATACTCCAACGGATCAACTGTATAAGAAAACAAACACATTTTCTTTGGAAGAGCACTTTTCAATCAATACTCTCAAAATTTCCTATTATATCATCAACAAAAAGCTTAAATAAAATTTTATATTAATCAGGAATTCCGAAATTCATGATCATCACACTAGACAATATAACTTGTTTAATCTTGAAGCTGCAAATTCTAAACTTGGGCAAAAAAAGTTTACACATGGGGCGATTTCGAAATTCAATAAATTACCAGATGATATCAAAAACAGCCCAAATACTATGCTATTCAAAAATAAAGTGAAGAAATATATTTATATACAAAGGAATGATCAAAGCTGGAAGACTATGAATTTCCTTTTTTTTTCACTGTTTTTATTTTTCCCCTTCTTGTTCACATTTTTCCCCTTCTTGTTCACTATAATATGACTGTTATTTTGAGATATCTTAATGATGATATATGTAAGTTTTGTTCACTATTTGTAATTTCAATTATAAAACAGTCGATAATACTTCATGAATGATCTTATACCAGGAATTACTGTCTGATCATTCATGTCATTCCTACTAGAAAATTAATTATACTTTATATATTATTTGTATGAAATGTATCAATGGAGAAGAGATTGTAATGCAATAACAAAAATAATAAATAAAAAAATAAATAAAAATCCTTTACGAACTAACCTTTTTCTTATTGCAATATTTTTGGGGGAGGATAACCAGAAATTGATTGATAATTATAAAAGTTAAGTTCTTCAACAAAATTGAATGAATTGAGACTGTTCATTCTAAACGCACCAACTTATTGAACTTCAAATATTTTCTGAGAAACGATAACCACAATGAAGTGAAAAAGCATAGGTGAAAAAAAAAAGTTGTGAAAAATAAGTTCAGGTTCAACGCGACTCGAACCATGGACCTTCAGTCGACAGCGCTAACCACTAGACCGTTTGGGTATATGAATTTACTCAGAATGACAACGAGAGCGCTTCAGTCGAATTCGTGTCGAAATCGAATCACGCATCAGGCGCGACCGAAATAAATATCCCTTCTGCATAAGAAAGAAGGATGGAAGCCACTTCGGGGGTTGAAACATAAAAGACATCGAGAATAAGAGTACCACTAACAATAATCAACAATAACGAACGTGCATCACTTGGCATCACTGCTGTCGTTCGGTTTAATTTCGGTGGCTCCTCCGTTAGCAAATAGTCAGAATATATACTTACAAACCTATTAGAATAGGAAACGCATCGAATTAATTCATGCATGTTAACTGAAATATAGTGAACAAGTCGTTCTTCTAACAATATATGCTATGAAACTTTAACGAAGAACCATTTGAATTTTGTAGAAATTCATGGAATATTCGAAAATGGGCGACATAGTCTTGACTACGACAGTATTGACGTTATCAGGGTTTGAACGGGATTTCAGATCTTTGACTTATTTTGATCATCATTCAATGTAATGTAATTTACCGAATTAACAGAGTATTAGCAGCGCCCCTTATGAGCAATCACAAAATAAGTTATGAATTCATATTTCTCATGTCAGAAAACCTCTAAAACGACTAAATTTTATGTTCATGGTGTCGAAACAAAGTTATTGAGACATTTCAGAATAAAATAGTCCCATTAAACACCCTGTATCTTCTAAGCATACAACATTGTAATTGGGTCATATGTTAGGCTTAATCTCCATCTTTTGTTATGAAATAAAAAAATTCGCATATAGTGCTTTTCCATTCCTTATAATACTCACAATATTTGTGAGTATTCTTGAATTGAATATTCGGAACATGATTATTTTTGTATGAGAATAATTGTTTTGTTCGTTTCTAGTATTATGGGAATAGGTGTTTACTGAAAGTACATTATGTTTTGATGTCATAGGTTCATTTCATTACCTTTTCTTGGAATTCGTATGGCATAAAATAGATCTTACGCAGATATATTGATATCTACTGTATTTTCGACAAGGTATTCACTGATGGAATAAAAATCGAACTGGCAATAACCCTGGTCGTCCCGGAGAGTGAGTCAACAACTGTCATTTTTGTTGTAAAATTATTTATTTATAATGATAAAGATGGAAATCCCTGATTTCAAGTGACAATGGAAAATGAAAAAACTCCACCGCACCGTGTGAGAGTCGAACTCACAACATCTGCCCAACGCTCTGCCAATTGAGCTAACGGGACATCCGTCGATCAATCGGCAGGGAGGTCGACATGGACGTATAAACACATATAGGCCAATCAAATAAGATCCAATTAGCCTGAATAGAAAAAATAATTGATAAAAATCTAAAAATTGGTGGAGACCTACATCTTGGCTCACTATTGACTGTTCTCAAAGTCCGGACCCGTATCAACACGGCTCGGTCCGCCATCTTGGAAAAAAGGTACACTGATCCAGTTTTTCCATCATATTTCCGTAACCGTCCATCCTATCGTATCAAAGGTTATGATAAAAATTCAAGATCTTCAAATTCTCTATAAAAAAGGTCTCATTAACTTTTTTCATAATATCGATACTTTTGTGTCAAATCACCAATGAATATATAAATGATGTTCATTATTCTCCATTTTACGAAAATTTTCGGAATTACAATGTTCCATTAAATAATCTTGAATGATTTGTCCTATACGAATACTTCTGCCTACTCTGTGACGACACAAGGAGATGAAAAGAGAAGGGGTCAATAAGGTCATAAAGTCCTGACACGAGTGCATATGTCTGCACTTGCACTTCCACTACTTCCAACAACTCATTTGCAGGTCATATACAAAATATGCTGTCTTTTTTTCATGCTGGCCACATCCTTCACGCTAAAGCATGCCATCTCTATCTTCAAGATATGCTACATTTGAGAAATCATATGGATATTGAAGAATACCGTAAATTTGTTGATTTTTTACAATCAGACGAACCGACAAATTTTGGTCTGGAACTTGGTCAGACATGGTTATTGAGCAAACTTTGATGAGAAGCATGAAATCCACCGGTGGTCTAACATGTTGAGGCTTCAAAAACATTATTCTTGGCAAATGGACTCTGGCAATGCCTGCTCTTCTGGACATCTGTGACAGGTTAGAACAATTTTGCGATGTATCTTTCATTAGTGGCGAACAGTATGCCGATTTAAAGGACTCACGAAAAAAACGAGATGACGAGGATGTGAAACGGTTGTAACACTGGCTATCTTCTCATGATCCTTCTCCGAATTCAGATGAAATTTTCTCAATAAGTACCGGAGTTGTTGGAGATAGTACTATCGATTGTTACAATGCTCTTGAAAATGGTGTACACACGGTATTAAGAAAATAATAGGAAACAATTTCGGAGACGTCCTCTAGCAACTCTCAACTCTGCTATTAAAATCATCGACGTGATAGTACCAGTTGATCCTCTGATGCTATTCCAAAGAATCATCATTGCTAAAAAAGATTATGAACAATTATCCGGTTATTTTGAATACGAACTGGCATCTTTATTCAACGAATCAGGTATAAGCGGAAGATGGCAGATATGTAATAGACGGTGGGTATCTCGTGCACCGTGTCATTTTGCATCAAAATCAGACATGTCAATCAATTTGCCTAACATACGTGAACAATTTGAAGAAATATTTAGGAACAGCAGCAACGCTTCAAGCACTAAAACTGCGGAACAATGCTTGCGGTCTGCAATGAGACAATTGCTGCCACTGTCTCACAAGAAAAAAATCTGGGCAATGAAAAGAATAAAACTCGATTGATTTCGATGTTATCAAAGAGATTCGAGGCTGGAGGATTCACTATCAAACATGCCAAAGATGATGCCGATACTCTAATCATCACAACAGCGATAGAAGTATCATCCAAAGAAAAAGCTGTGATTGTAGGTGAGGATATAGATTTGCTGGTTCTACTCACTGCTTTATAGCTCCACAAGAACAGAATATTTATTTTCTGAAACCAGGAAGGGGCAAAGTCGAATAACACGAGCTGGGGAACGATTTTTCTTGGCTATGTATGGTGCACCTGTGACTGATACCTCTTTGAATGAATATCGTTTCAATATCTTCGAAAAGTCAGCGTATAAAAACAAATTGAATTTGGCTTCGTTGCCTCCCACAGCTGCAGCAGCTCAGCAACACTCTTTCCGTGTGTGGGTACTGCCATGGTACATGTATGAATTCAGATACTTCGTGTGATACTGAAAAGGAGATATACCATGAAGATGAAAACTTTTTCGTGTTTGATGCGGAGGACAGAGATGATGAGCATTGATCTGCAGTACCTCAGTCATCTGCTCGCAGGACAATTAATTTTTTCTTTCTATACATACTATAAGTACTTGTTCGAATAAAACATTTTTGTATACACAAGGAAATATTATATAAGTTTTCAAAATCACTCCAAATTATATCATTTCTCACAAATTCTATACAGAGTGTATTTTTTTTCGGCAATGAATACAAATATCCAAAAATTCAACAGTGTATAACAGAAGAAATATGGAGAAGAGGAAAAAATGTTCTGAACCTTTTTTATGTGGAATTCAATTAGCTTCATTTTTTGTAATGACTTTTAATACGATAGAATCAACAATAACTGAGATATGAGAGAAAAACTGGATTAGTGTGCTTTTTTTCCAAGATGGCGGATCGAGCCGTGCTTGTATTGGTCCGGACTTTTGGCATAATCAACAGTAGGCCAAGGTTGATGTTTCTACCAACTTATAGCTTTTTATCAATTATTTTTTCTATTTTTTCTAATATGACTGAACTAATATACGTCCATGGAGGTCGAGCTCTCATCACACACTAGGCGGCAGAATCCTTCCAATTCCCGAAGTCACTCGAAACCATGCACTATACGAAGCATCGCTGGCAGGATGGAACTATACAGTCTCCATATTTCCCCGTTTGTCCTCTGGCATTGTATTTCCTTGTATACGGAAATGTCCGAATGCAATCATACATAGAAGTGAGTCAGAATTTTTTTGTCCGTTACTCAACCGAAAAGATACATATATAATGATAAAGACAGAAAGCCCTAATTTCGAGTGACAATGGAAGTATGTTAAATTGTTATGTCTATACTGTCTGTAGGTTAATCGAGGAGGTGGTACATTTCCAAAAACCCAAGTCAACCCAAGTCAAGCCTTCAAGATTCGCATACTTGCTTGATCTGTATTTCATTCGTTATTCTCGGGATGGATAACTTGTTTTGAATAATCAAGGCAAGCAATTGTTTTTGTTCACCTCTATTCGATTATTGAGTCAAACACAGTGTAGTATGGAGAGGAATGAATAATCGTTATGTTAATTGACCTATCCAAGATGCTGTCAAACAATCTAAATCAATATGGCCGATTGTAGGCACACATACTTTCGTATCGCAATATCTTTGTTATAGCGGTCCAAGGATAATAAATATCCACTTTTATTCAAAACAACCATTATTATTATTTGATATATCTACCAAAGATTATACTGCTGCTACGTAAATCAACAAAAAATACTTGTGTGCCTACCGGCGGCCATTAGAAATTTGTCAAAAGTCACGTGTTCTGGAATGCCTAATTGTTGATATCATATGCTCAATAACCTAATATTTTCCACGTCTTGTTCCTATACCTGGCACTGGCGCGGTATTTGCCATTAGAGCACCTAGTCCATACACAAATATGCCAGTCTGTGGTTGTATTTATGTTGAAACTACAATCCGAACATCCTTGAAAATTGAATAAACCTGCTATCAATGCAGGTTGAATATTCTCACCACACGGATTTTGCTTTGATTTTGATTTGTTGCATTGCATACATATGGCACGGCATTGGTGGGGACTTCACATATTTATTTGAGTTAATTGTTTCGGTTGCAGAAAAAATAGCATGTTTTATTCGGATCACAAGCGACTTTGTTTGACTCGCAAATTTTGCTCTCGCTGGGCTTCGCTAAACGCTCCGCCTCGCACCTACAAAATTCGCTTGTCAAACAAAATGTCACTTTTGATCCAAATAAAACAATCTACTATTTTCACAAGGGAATTGAAAAATTCTCAAATGGAGTATTTATTCTTGAATGAATAAAGTCGAAGAAATGAAAATATTGATATGAGGGGAGCAAAATGCTCTTTTCTAGGATATCTATCTAGAATTATAAAATATATTCTCATTCAGAGTAATTATTTTTGGAATGATATATTTTTTGAATTGAGAAATCTTTTTTATGCGTGTACGGTATACGATACAATATTCCGATAATGATGGACTAGCGATCAATTGGTCCAATTCGAAATGTTCGAACAATCTGAAGAGTGGGCTGACTAAAATTTGTCTTGAGAGTAATCTATACAGAGATGTATAGAAATTTAACTGGTGCCCTTGCTCCCTATTGAAGGTCGTTTGCAAGTTTCTCGATGGCGCCTACTCTGATAAACCTTTGATAAACATACTTGACGTGGGTAAATCTCGCTAAGCTCATCCTGGTTACAATCCATACTTACAGGAAATATAATACTGACATTACCGACCGATAATTGGATACGTATATGATTTGGATCAGAGCAGTGAACTGATTCCTGGTCAAAGGGTCGAAAAGTCAATATGTCAAAAATATTCTTGAGCTGAAAAAATTGATATTTCTGAGATTGGGGTCAAGTGTTCGTTAGGGACGTATTCCGTAGTTTCAAAATTTTGTGTATAATACTTAATCCACCATAGAAAAAAGAAAATCTCTGTTCTACAACAGTATTATTTCAGTGATTTGAAATATTAGCGTGAATTGGTGTGAATAAATTCTAAGGTGAGTACCAGTTACCATATCTGCCTATTATGACTCATTCTTTGTTCTGGTTCTTCAAAGAGGAAATTCATCAGATTTCATGCTTCAAATATGTTCATGTCATCTGTCATGAAAGAAGTGAAGCTTATTAAAATCGGCTACGAAAAAGATTTCTTGATTCTATTTCTAATTGAAATTTGAATGAAAATTTTGAGCACAGTATTTATTCTACCACAGAACAATGATGGAAATAATAGATTCATCCCTCACAGAACCAAGGTTTTGAACGATTTTCCGATTATGGCGCCTCTATCGCAAATACCTGAACCGACGCCTGAACCCACGCCTGAACCCCACGTCCAAAACTCGCTTGCAATTGTTCCATATCGAGAGTTAGTCTGACAAAACAATCGAAGAGTGAGCCCACCAGTTAAATTTCTATACATCTCTATCTATACCTTCAATAAAGCAAAACCAAGTAAGGCTCCAATGAATTGAGCTGCTACGTAGATAACTCCCAGGAGAGGGCTCATCATTCTCATCAGAACAGCTGCTATCGTGACTGCTGGATTCAGATGAGCTCCTGATATGTGTCCGAAGGCCTGGAAAACGAGTAAATAATCAACTAAAAACAAAGTTTCACGGAAAATGAAAATAACCGAAATAAACGAGTTGAGTCCGACAGCAGTAGTGTTGAATTACAGGCGAATTAGCATTTATAATGGTGGATTTATAAACTCAACTAAACTAAGAACTCTAATTAACAATTAGCAACTATAAGAATGCGTTTATAAACATCATCTACTGAAAATTTAGAATTAAGGTCTTTCATTGTTTCCTGCTTGACGCTTAGAGTAAAGAAACCGTTCTGGGTGTTCTGTTTGGTTATGTTATGTTTTAAAAAAAGGTTGATTTCCTTCCTGATGAAAAATATTTCATAATACAGAGATAGTTTAATCAAAATAATGGACGATGGAGAACTGATAGAGAGGGTGTCCCAGTTTAGACTACTCTATGGCAAGAGAAACATGGATTTCAAAAACAATGTCAAAAAGGAAAATGCTTGGCAAACGATAGCCACTATAATGGGAGTTACTCGAAAGTATTTTCATTAAAAGTGAAGTTGAATCTCTCCATAGACAAGATATATTTCATATTTTCGCGGTCTTTAATTCCTTGATGTCAATGTCAAAAAATATGATGCCTTATGCGCATGCGTCGAATTCATAATTGTTAATTCTTAGTTGAAAAGATGAAAGATGGCCATCTTCTTAGTTGTTAATTGTTAGTTTAATTGACAGACACAAGTTTATAAAACCCCAATGGGATTTCCATGTATCCATCTTTCTTGATTCTCAGTTCTTAATTTAATTGTTAGTTTAGTTGAGTTTATAAATCCACCATAAAGAAGGGTGATAAAAGTACCACACTCTCAGTGAATTTCAACGCGAAATGCAGTTCATGATTTTACTGTTTCTTTGGTAGGAAAATGACCCACCTGAATACTCTTCGTACTATTGTATAAATGACATAATTCTATTCTGTCCATAATAAAATATTGGGAAACATTATCGATGAATATTCACTATAGTTAAGAGATGGTTGAGAGTAGTAGCAAAGAATTTATTATTATCTTTGGCAAATTCTTTTTTAGTGTCTTTTTGATTTCAAAATTGTCGTGGGTATTTTTATTTTCGCGGAATACAGGGGTGTCTTCATCTTAAGTGTGTCACACTGTATATCGAACCCAGGAAAATATAAATATAGATAATGATCTGAAGTAGGTAGTGAATGTTTCTCAAGATAGTAGAGTCAACAGAAATTATCAGATAATTTATGCTACTACGTTATGATGAAAGATTAAAAGATGGTATTTCTACTATAGTATTTCATTAGACTCGTTATCTCCTACCTAATATTTTTCCATTCAACTGGATAGGTGTGAGTAAGGGTGTATGCATAGGCGCTGAACACACTGCAATTTGAAATATCTATTATTCTCTCAGAGTATGCATCAGAGAATCGACACCGATTCTCTGCAATAAGTTATCATCGAACAACAACAAGTTGCTGTTCGATGAAATCATTCAACATCTTGTACAAGTCGGGTATTTTTCCATCTTGCTAGAAAATAGGTACGAGTCCAACCAATCCCAAAAAAGGAAACAAAAGCGTGCAGAGGCGGATTAACCAGGAAGCAAAAGAAGCGAGCGCTTCGGGCGCCAAGATTTGAGGGGCGCAAAATCATAGTTCATGAAATAGTAACAATCTCAAAAATGGTAGCATTTGGAAAAAATATCTCCACAAGTCTGAAAAGTCGGAATATACGTAGCATGTACGATGTACGACTGCACGAGTACCGAGCCCAGAGCGCTTCTGTTAGGATAAATATAAAACTAGAATTTTTGAGGGCACCAAGTATGAGAGGAGTTTTTTCAAATTGCGAAATCGCCCTTATAGGATGCACGTAAACACTGCTGTGACAAATAGCAGCGGTAAAAGATCTTTTTCTGTGCTGAAAAGAGTTGAAAAATATTTGCGATAAACAATGTCAGAAAAAATTATTCAAAGGCATTGCATGCCATTGAAAGCGAAATTTTTCGGAAATTAGACTTTGCGGAAATTGTAAATGGATTTGCTCATTGAAAAGGAAGGAAGGAATCTTTTTCTTGATAATGTCATATTGAAGGCTTGTTTTGTTTCAATTGCACATTTTTTTTCTTATTTTTATTTCACGTTTTTTGAAATGTAATGGAACAAACATCTATTTGAAAAAATTTTATTTTTCTTGCAATTGTTTTGTTTTCTGATTTTCATAATTCTTGGGGCGCAGTATACCCTTGATCCGCATCTGAAAGCGTGCCCTAGAACTATTGGCCAATAATTAACTTATATTACATAGTGAAAAAAATAGAATGAAATCGAACACTATACCTGTTATTGAAAAGGAATATTCTCAGATATATTATAAACATGAAAAAATGGATACATTTGAATAAATACATTGAGAATTCGCATTCTCTATGTGATGAAATTATTAATTCTTTCTCGGCATATTCAACAGAAAACAACTACTTTCCTGGCTATATGCCACGACGAACATTGAATTATATCAATTGAACATACACGATAGGAATTTGAGCATAAAATGAATATCGTCTGAAATTGAGAATTGACATTCTCTTCCAGAATCGGATGAATACTATGATGAATATAACGATATAAAAAATATATTACTTACCAAATTGGTATGAAAATTGGAATGTATGGGAGAAATATACTAGTATACATACTCTGTTCTTGTTGAGTCGTGAATTTATCAAAAATCATCCGTATCCATGATGTTTGGGATATATGCACATCTCTTTCACATAGGTTAGATGATTTTGATTCGAATAAAATTCATTTCGAGTTTCAAACTCTCCTCAGTAACCTGAAGTCCAGTCATTCCTTCAGCCATTCTTCATTTAATACACAATTTTCACATTTCTATAATAATATAACTAAAACTATAGTGGAACTGACATCTATCTGAGAATGAAAATTTGTTGACTTATCTCCAGGAATGACTGGACTTCAGGTTACTGAGGAGAGTTTGAAACTCGAAATGAATTTTATTCGAATCAAAATCATCTAACCTATGTGAAAGAGATGTGCATATATCCCAAACATCATGGATACGGATGATTTTTGATAAATTCACGACTCAACAAGAACAGAGTATGTATACTAGTATATTTCTCCCATACATTCCAATTTTCATACCAATTTGGTAAGTAATATATTTTTTATATCGTTATATTCATCATAGTATTCATCCGATTCTGGAAGAGAATGTCAATTCTCAATTTCAGACGATATTCATTTTATGCTCAAATTCCTATCGTGTATGTTCAATTGATATAATTCAATGTTCGTCGTGGCATATAGCCAGGAAAGTAGTTGTTTTCTGTTGAATATGCCGAGAAAGAATTAATAATTTCATCACATAGAGAATGCGAATTCTCAATGTATTTATTCAAATGTATCCATTTTTTCATGTTTATAATATATCTGAGAATATTCCTTTTCAATACTTTCATACCCAATCAAGGGGTTCAAACTTGAACGATGGAAACTTGTTATTTTTATAGACCTTCAATCGCAGATTCGTGATTGGGTTTTTCTCAATTCAGAATTTCTTTCCACGCCCTGTATGATAAATGTCAGTTTGTCATACATCTAAAACAATTGCCACCCACATGACTGGAGATAAGTCAACAAATTTTCATTCTCAGATAGATGTCAGTTCCACTATAGTTTTAGTTATATTATTATAGAAATGTGAAAATTGTGTATTAAATGAAGAATGGCTGAAGGAATGACTGGACTTCAGGTTACTGAGGAGAGTTTGAAACTCGAAATGAATTTTATTCGAATCAAAATCATCTAACCTATGTGAAAGAGATGTGCATATATCCCAAACATCATGGATACGGATGATTTTTGATAAATTCACGACTCAACAAGAACAGAGTATGTATACTAGTATATTTCTCCCATACATTCCAATTTTCATACCAATTTGGTAAGTAATATATTTTTTATATCGTTATATTCATCATAGTATTCATCCGATTCTGGAAGAGAATGTCAATTCTCAATTTCAGACGATATTCATTTTATGCTCAAATTCCTATCGTGTATGTTCAATTGATATAATTCAATGTTCGTCGTGGCATATAGCCAGGAAAGTAGTTGTTTTCTGTTGAATATGCCGAGAAAGAATTAATAATTTCATCACATAGAGAATGCGAATTCTCAATGTATTTATTCAAATGTATCCATTTTTTCATGTTTATAATATATCTGAGAATATTCCTTTTCAATACTTTCATACCCAATCAAGGGGTTCAAACTTGAACGATGGAAACTTGTTATTTTTATAGACCTTCAATCGCAGATTCGTGATTGGGTTTTTCTCAATTCAGAATTTCTTTCCACGCCCTGTATGATAAATGTCAGTTTGTCATACATCTAAAACAATTGCCACCCACATGACTGGAGATAAGTCAACAAATTTTCATTCTCAGATAGATGTCAGTTCCACTATAGTTTTAGTTATATTATTATAGAAATGTGAAAATTGTGTATTAAATGAAGAATGGCTGAAGGAATGACTGGACTTCAGGTTACTGAGGAGAGTTTGAAACTCGAAATGAATTTTATTCGAATCAAAATCATCTAACCTATGTGAAAGAGATGTGCATATATCCCAAACATCATGGATACGGATGATTTTTGATAAATTCACGACTCAACAAGAACAGAGTATGTATACTAGTATATTTCTCCCATACATTCCAATTTTCATACCAATTTGGTAAGTAATATATTTTTTATATCGTTATATTCATCATAGTATTCATCCGATTCTGGAAGAGAATGTCAATTCTCAATTTCAGACGATATTCATTTTATGCTCAAATTCCTATCGTGTATGTTCAATTGATATAATTCAATGTTCGTCGTGGCATATAGCCAGGAAAGTAGTTGTTTTCTGTTGAATATGCCGAGAAAGAATTAATAATTTCATCACATAGAGAATGCGAATTCTCAATGTATTTATTCAAATGTATCCATTTTTTCATGTTTATAATATATCTGAGAATATTCCTTTTCAATACTTTCATACCCAATCAAGGGGTTCAAACTTGAACGATGGAAACTTGTTATTTTTATAGACCTTCAATCGCAGATTCGTGATTGGGTTTTTCTCAATTCAGAATTTCTTTCCACGCCCTGTATGATAAATGTCAGTTTGTCATACATCTAAAACACTATACCTGTTCCCAGGAGGATCACTAAGTTTTAGAGTAAACGATTTAACTCTATAGTTAAGTATTTTATAGTGTGATTTTTTCAATTCTATAAGTGTACATTCTCAATGCAAGCACATTTGAACTTTCTCTATTTATTTATCTGAATATATAGAATAAACACAAAAATAGAGTTGAAAGAAACAATTTAGAAAGTGAATATACTACCTAAGACCCAAGCTAGTGTCAATGTCCTCACTTCAGAGTTGAATTCAATAACCGAGTTTTGCATATTTACAAAAGTTGACAGTTGGAATATAATAGTAAAGAGTAGATTTCACACTATAAACAATGTATAATCCACTGGAAATTGATTGAATAATTCACTCTGACTGGATGACAAATTGCTCCTGCATTGTTCGAATTAATTATGTGTGTAGGTGCTAATAAGGAGTTATCATTTATTCTTCATTCGAGATTGATATAGTACACTAGTTGAGTAAACTAGGCACTATAATCTACATGTAATTACTGTTGAGATTTTATCCAAGTTAAGTTCATCTTTATCTCACATGTCACAGTATTTATAGGCCTCATCTGGCAGACGTCCAGACGTAATATTTTAATCGTTAGATATTTGAAAAATGGCTCGAGTCTCGTTAGACTAATTAGTTAAACTATCTGTTCCATATATGTTCGAAATAATGATTCGAAACGGAAAAAACTAAGATGTACGAAAATACGTCAATAACACAATGTTGAAAAAATCTCTCACATCGAGGGTTAAGTAAAAAAGCTACTTGAAGTTTATATCGTACATACACTATAATCATTATTATTTATTTCACTAACCAGTATAGACTCAAGGATCTGAAACTGTATAGATTGATATTTCATCGTATATAGGGGTAATTAAACAATGACAGAATTGTGGGGCATTCGAGTTCTCTAGTGAGTTCAATTTCAACCGTTTGTGAGTTAAGTTCATAGGAATTTCCGAGGGAATTTCAGGAACATAGAGTGAATTCAACGGGATTAGTGAAAATTCGATATAGAATTAGTTTCAAAGGAGATAATCGCTGCGAAAAGTGTAGTTATAGAGTTGATTGGTATCAGAGTGAGTTTGTCAAAATATTTCAACTATAAAAATAAACTCGACGCGATTTTTTACAGTGTATCAGTCATCTCCGAAGTGATTGAGCTAATCTCATCTCTGGAAAGTTTAGGAATTATTGATGATAGACAATAATATGGCTTTCGCTACCGCAGATCAACTGGAAATGTTCTTGCTTACGTCACCCAGATATGGCAAGCTTCTTTAGAAAAACATGGGGAATCGGAAGGCCAAGAATCTTGGGAGAGAGTCTAGGTCTTGGTCTCGAAAGTCAAGTTTTGGTCTTGGTCTCGAAAGTCAAGTCTTGGTCTTGGTCTTCGAAAGATTTATTAAGTCTAGTTCTCGTGCAGCCCTAGATAGGATACAATTTATGGGGCATAAAGTTTCGAGTGGGCACAAAATATTCGTATTTGGATCACGAAATCAAAAATGCATTGATGATTGAATAAAGGAATAAGAAATATATATCGAGCTCTGTCTTTCCAATTCCCCTAGTATCAATGATTGCCAGAAACAATTTTGAGGTTTAGATTATTTGTCAAACCGTTCATAGCCGTAGGTAGAAGTGAGAAATAGGGCTATTTCAACTAGAATAACTATTAGATTTTCAAATAATGAACAACAGGATGTTCAAATTTCGAATCGATAATTCATAATCAATACCTGAGATGGCTATTGCAGCACGAAAGGAAATCCCTATAATGTTCAAAGAACATCGTGCGTTCCTAGGGAGGATAGGGACAGGAGGTAGGTATTGGAATTTTTTTTGAACTTTTGGAGATTATATGTTGTTGGGAATACTTCCACAGGCAATTAATTCCAGAGCCTAGCCATTCTATGGATGAAAGCGTCTTGATAAAGTGCTGTTCGACATCTTTCGACGTTGACAACGAAAGGATGTGCTGACTGGGCTTGTCTAGTTCGGTAGTTCGTCTGATTGGTATTGCTAGTGAAGGGATGATAGCAGAGATTTCCGAAGAACATTTCCCGTGGAAGTATCGATAGAATAGTGAAAGGTCGCCGACCTTTCTTTCCTTTCTGTTGGGATGTAAAAAAATGGAAGATATATAATTGCCATTTCGTCAAAGCAAAGGCAGCAGTCTCTCTCAATGTCCGAGTAATTCTCTCATTCTCAAGTAGCGGAGAGATTCTACCAATATTCCTGGATTGAAAGCAATGTGTTCTATTTTCCTCGATTGTAGGAAAAGGAAATTTTGATTTCAACATCAGGTGTTCATATCCAGTGGTACCACAAGAGAATTTGATAGCGAGTGCTTTATTAATTGTGTCGGTTTCCCACCTCTTCCTGCAGTCTACATTCACTTGTAAATTTTGAATTTGATCTGAATCAAAAACACCGTGGACTGATGACATAGCACATTGCAATTTCTCCTAATCTTCTAGTTTAGATTTCAAACTTTTGATTTCTTTTCGCATCATCTCATTCTCATTTTCTTTATCTGTGATCGTTCATTCAGTAATTCCCAATACGACGACGGAACTCTTTTTTTGAACGTCTCTATTTTATAAATTGACAGCACAGCAGACTCTTTCAATTTGAAATACATCAGCTTGAAAGAATCTCTATCAAGATGGGCCTAAAATTCATCCTTTTTGTACTGTTTTTACAAGTAAATTCGAATATTCACCTCACATATTGCGGATTTCTTCAAATTAAGTTTCCATTCTGGACGTTTAATGCATTCATTCATGACATTATCTTTAAAAGATTATTCGGAAAACTGAGTAAGTTGAATCCTTTTTCTAATGAATTATCGCAATAATGAACGCAGCAGGACATTGAAATAATTTAAAATGCTGAATTTTGGCGGTAATAAAATTCCAAAGTGACATCTGTGACAGAAATTCGAAATAATTAAAAAAGCGGGCGGGACGACTATGGTGTTTCGTCACTTTGTCAGGTGGGGAAACCAAATGAAACCAAATATTAAAAACCCCAACGGCAGTCAGTTTTGTGTCCGGACTCTTATCTAAGGTTGTCTAAGGTATATACAGGGCCTCTAGTTTCGATAGCATCCACCATTTTTGAGACAGATCGATTTCAAAATTCTGCTGCGTAGAAAATCTTTCGAATGACGATAGGGACCCTTTAAATTTGGCAATAAGGAAGATAGAGGCATCATTCAACGTAGATTTCAATGCTTTTCAACATTGAATACTGTGATATTTTTCGTCCGCTAAGTCTTTTGCTAGATATGACAGCAAAACCAGCAAAACTTCTAAACTCTTCGGGTTTTCTGAATTTTTTTGACCTGCTACGATGCAACAAACTTCAGATTCGCTTCCAGAAGCCTGGAAATGTATGGTTCCGAAACGTTCTACTGGATTCAAGTTACTAGACAATAGCACTATGAGTCCATCTGATTAAGCTATTGAAAATAAAATGCATGAGTTCAGCTGTTTCGCCTTCCACACAGCAGTTCGAAATTCAACTTCGTCATCTGACTAAAATATTACTAATTATGGTCATATGCCAATGATGTTCAGTTACCTGAATTATGAGTAATATCACTAATCCGAAAGAAAGCGAAGATAGATGATGGAATGCTGCAGGGCTGTCCACTTCTGGAATACATCCCATGCAGCCCAGAAACATCAAGAGAGCAGTCCCAAGCAGCTCTGCTGCGAACAACGTGAGGGCCTTAGGCTCATATTTACTGGTTGCTGCAAAGAAACAGTGATGAGTTCTTACAATGAGGGAGAAAATCCACAAATTTTGTTATAATATAAATACCAAAATGGTAGATGTCGGTAGAATAACAAATATTTCCGTGCGCCTGCACTGTTCAACCACTAACCAAACCGATTTTTCAAACGTATCGACACGTGTTTCGCAAACTAGACTACTAGGCCAGTCATTGGGGATTTTTACCTGGAAAAAAGTCCGGAAGTTTTGAAACTTTGTAGAATTATAGTTTTGGGTGTCCAGAACTAAAATTCACAAAATGCACATTCCGGGACATGCCGCCGGCGCCGCCATCTTGCCAAGATGGCGCTCAAAAACGGTTTTTTGAAAATATCTCCAAAACGGTGCGTTTTTCGAAAAAATATGAGGACATAAAAATTTAAGATGAAGAAATTTTCTACAAGAAATGTTCCTAGTATATTTTTGCTGAAGTGAGCCGTTTAGGCCCAAGCGCTGATTGAATGACATCATATTCTGTTAATTTCAATAAACTGCCCCTAACTATCTCCAAATATGCGTATAAATTTATCTTTTATAATGAAACGGGATATCTAATTGGTTTCTCGTTATATTTATAGCTTGCTGACAGAGGATATTTCTTATAAAATATGTTCCTAGAATATTCTCGCTAAAGTACCCTCGTTAAGGCACAAGTGCCCTTACCAAATTACAAATGTTGCGTAAGTTTCCTGTAGTGGCGAGTTTCGGAAATAATATGTGTATTAGGGGTCCCCAAATCTGATATTTAACGACTTTAAAAATATTTATCACGAAACGGTGGATATCCATTATTGAAATTATCGATGAATTCATCAATTAATCTATGTTAATAATTTATGATCAATCAATTTCGATTTTAAATGCTGTACTTGTTTCCACACCACCCAAGAGGCTAAGTACACGGCGCGTTTTTTTTAACGTGGCTTCCCCTGTAGTCCTAATCCACTGAGGTACTGAAATTATTTTTAGCAAAGGCCAGACGGACCTGGCTCGTTGATTTCGATATATTCAACGGGAAAACTGGTTACCTCAGCTCCACAATCGATGTTAATTTCCTTCAACTTGTCGGATTCTTCTTCTGCAGTCGATAAAGAATCATCATGCAGCGAATGGAGGTCTTCTTCATCGGATTCGTCCAGTGTCACTTGGCTGATATTTTCACAAGTTTTCCCGTTGCAGACACCGCAAATCATCGAACATCGCAATCCTGCTTTCCTGCATCCGCAGGCTCTACCACAAGCCGCCTTGCACTTACAAGATTTAAAAGCAAGTAGTGCTTTGGAAGCAGGATCTTTCAAAGTAGTTATTGGAGTGAGGCCAGTTTGTGTTTTCTTCCAACCTCATTCTTCAACTACTTTCGGACAACCACGCCATAGTTGAACCTGATAGTACGTTCTCAACGAATGCTGTCGTGCAGCTGCGCTTGTCGGTGGTAAAGATGCCAAATTGAATTTACTTTTTGTTACCGACTTCACGAAACACTGGTATCGATATTTATCAAGATTGGTGTAATTTGTGTCTTTGAATCCATAGAGTGCAAGGAAAAATTTCTCACCGGCAAAGGCAACTTGATCAGGGGTGGCATGTTCATTTTTAAAAACTTTAATATGATCTTGTAACTCTTTATGTTTTTCTAATGTTGTTAGCAACTTCATTTTTCCTTGGTTAAATACGGTCTCGCAATATTTTCATGTTCGTTTTTCTCGTAAAATTACTGATTGGCAAATTGTGTTCGTTAGGAAAGGTAATTTAGTTGATGGAAAAGTTCTTGTGTTTTTACCGTTTATAAAAATATCTCATCTGAAATATATATTTTGTGTATTTACTCATATTGGGATGAAGTGGTAAAGACAAGAAAGCAAAATTTCAAATTTCTATGAATTTGTGGGCGGTTTTACAGTACGAGAAGGTACCTATCTACGGATACATAGTATAGGTACGATATTTACTCATAACCATCCTGCACCCACATACTTCTGGAGCAAAGTCGCCAGATTCGTCGCAATTTTTATATCGCCCAAATAATCGCAAGTCACAAATGCAAAATTTTTGTCGCATAATTGATTTAATAATCGTCCAATATGACGATGAACAAATTGAGTAGCCCGTGTTATTATGAAATATGAATTTATACGCATATATGGAGATAGTTAGGGGCAGTTTATAGAAATTAACAGAATATGTTGTCATTCAATCAGCTCTTGAGCCTAAACGGCTCTCTTCAGCAGAAATTAGCACGAGACATTTCTTGTAGAAAATTTCTTTATCTTAAATTTTTATGTCTTCATATTTTTTCTAAAAACGCACCGTTTTGGAGATATTTTCAAAAAACCGTTTTTGAGCGCCATCTTGGCAAGATGGCGGCGCCGGCGGCATGTCCCGGAATGTGCATTTTGTGAATTTTAGTTCTGGACACCCAAAACTATAAACCTACAAAGTTTCAAAACTTCCGGACTTTTTTCCAGGTAAGCCTTATTTTGGATCCCCAATGACTGAACTATACTTACCAGATCAGGTGGGACAGCCAAAAATTTGACTAATTTTGATAACTGAAGGTATAAAGCGTCATTGGCGTCGGCTTTTTATTTTTGCAATTCGTTCTCTTTGTACACTGTGTCCCATTTTGGTTGAGACTGCACTGTAGTATCTCAGCTATTATTGAAGATAGAGACATGCGGTTTCCGCGACCCAGCACTTTTTTGTAAAACTTTCGAAGCCACAAACAGAAATATTCCAACTACTCTTGTTCCTGAAACACAGGGCGAAAACGAAAATGTTCACTTTTGGATATGTTATAATTTCTCAGGCCCCGTATGAGATGGGAAAAAAAGAAAACTGCTTATGATAGATATTTCTACGTAAAAGTCAGTGGCGTATTCTGATTTTTTTTCAAAGCACTGTTTTCAAGATTGGGCACAAACTTGGTATTTTTTAAATCAAACACCCTGTATATTTTAACGTGAATTTTTTGCAATTCTTCTCCTGAATTCACCGATATATCACAACCTAATCTTTATCTCATTTTATCTTCAAAAATAAGAAAAATCTATATTTGTGTTTGTTTTTTTAATAGTAGGCCGTGAATTCTTTCACACATGCATTTATTTATTACTTTCTGAAAACGCCATGTGATTTAAACCTATGCATTTGATTATATTTTGATTATTTACTCAAAATATCACCCTTTAACATAAACTCAAAAATGATGAAAACAAAAAAAAATATATCGGTACAGATTTATCATTGAAAACTGTAATTACAAGAATGAAATCAGAAAATTAATTACAAAAACAAAAACATATAAATCTAATGAAATTGTTCAAACTGTCGTCCATTTTGTCTTATACATAAACCACATACAGTTTCAATTCGCCTGGAAGCATTTAAAATTATAAAGGGTTGCCTTTGTAAGTTTCTGAATGCTTCTTCCGTTGAGGCTCGGAGTTCATCTATATTATTATGCCGATTTGCATGAATTTTATTTTTTAAGTATGACCAAACGAAGAAGTCTAAAATACTAAGTCCGGTGACCTCGGGGGCCATCTGATTGGCCCGTGTGTCCCAATCCAGCGTCCACTAAAATGAGCACTCAAATATTCTGTAACTACCCTTGAATTATGAGCGGGCGCTCCATCTTGCTGGAAATATATCTGATGTCGCTGTGCCAAAGGTATGTCCTCGAGCAACTCTGGCATATCATTCTGTAATATATTTAGGTATCGTTGGGCAGTTATAAGCTACCCTCAAAGATTGGATTTACAATTTTAGTGCTCAATACAAAACACGGAACACTAAAACCAAATCGGCCTTGTTGCTGTCGTTCAAAAGTGATTATGTTGATTTTCTTGATACCAATGTCTTGTATTCTGCCTATTAAATATGCCGCTGCTGCTTATATGGGATTCGTCAGACCATATTAGCTTCTTTGCGAAATCCGGATCTTCATTAGTTTTTGTTAAAAACCAATTGAAAAATTCTAATCGTTTGAAAGGATCATCAGGGTGCAATTCTTGAATAATATTTACCTTACACGGTTTGAATTTATGCATTTTCAAAATTTTTTGCACTTTTGTTTTTGAAACTCCTACCCTCTTCCTCTATTTTTCTACAGGAAATTTGGGGTCTTGCTTCCACACACGCTAAAACATTAATTTCGCCAGCTTCATTTCTCTCAACATGAGGTTGCCTAGGTTCTGAATAGCAGCCATAATTCAAAAGATTGGATTTTAACCGAAATACCGTAGCCCGAGATGGCTGACGTCTTCCTGGAAACCTAATAAGATCTTTTTAATTTTTTGAATTTTGAAACAAATTAAAATATGCCGATTCTTTACCTGTTTAAATATACCTGCATCGCTGCTTCGACATTTTCGTTAGAAAGGTTTAAACATTTTATAATATCATACTTTTCCAAATTTTGAAATTTCATGTTTTCACCGTCAGCCATCATTATTGATTTGTATTGACTCTGTTTGTGACAGTTTCCATGGATGCAATAAACGAAACATTCTTTCATGCATGTGTGGAAGAATTCATGGCCCACTATTAAAAAAACTAACATAGATATGGATTTTTCTGATTTTTAAAGATGAAATGTAATAAAGATTAGTTTGTGATATATCAGTGTATTTAGGACAAAAATTTCAATAAATTGACGTTAAAATATACAGGGTGTTCCATTAAAAAAAACAAGTTTGTGCTCAATCTTGAAAACATTGCTCTAAAGAAAATCAGAATACGCCACTGACTTTTATGCTGAAATATCTATCATAAGCAGTTTTAATTTTTTTCCATCTTATACAGGACCTGAGAAATAATAACATCTCCAAAAGTGAACATCTCCGTTTTCGCCCTGTATTTCAGGAACAAAAGTAGTTGGAATATTTCTGTTTGTGGCTTTGAAATTTTTACAAAAAAGTGATACAGGGTCGCGAAAACCGCATGTCTCTATCTTCAATAATAACTGAGATACAGTGCA